GAGGGCTCCTCAGCTGCCTGCCAGATGTGGAGAGAGCCACGCTGACGCTTCTCCTGGACCACCTGCGCCTCGTTTCTTCCTTCCACACCCACAACCGCATGACCCCGCAGAACTTGGCAGTGTGCTTCGGACCAGTGTTGTTGCCAGCAAGACAGACACCGGCTCGGCCGCGGCTCCGTAGCTCAGGCCCAGGCGTCACCAGCGCTGTGGACTTCAAGCGCCATATCGAAGTCCTGCATTACCTGCTACAGTCTTGGCCAGGTAAACATCGACCATTCCTATCAGCCTCCCTGATATATTTCCCTACTAGCTAATCATGGGCTGGAATATAAGGAAGGCCACGCCCCTTGGGGGTAAACTTGTAAACTTGCCTCTCTGAAGGCCAATCAAGCACCTAGATGCTACTTCCCTGCATCACATCTCATAACCCTCCCTGTGAACCCCCGCAGATACCCGCCGACCATCAGAGGCCTCGGACGTAGCACCTTATTTGCGACCCAAACGACAGCCACCTCTGCACTTGCCACTGGTGGGCCCCGAAGTGGTGACTCGGCCCAGAGGTCGCGGAGGCCCTGAAAGCCCCCCAAGCAACCGCTATGCAGGCGACTGGAGTGTGTGTGGAAGAGACTTACTGCCGCATGGACGGGACTTCCTGTCGGGGCCTGACTATGACCACGTGACAGACAGTGAGGAAGATGACGATGAGACCGGAGAGCAGAGGGGCACTACTGACTTCGAAGATGAGTTTGATGCACCATTCAACCCACACCTGAATCTCAAAGACTTTGATGCACTCATCCTGGATCTGGAGAGAGAACTCTCCAAGCAGATCAATGTGTGTCTATGAGTCCTTGAAGCAGGTGCTGGACTCTGGCTAATAAGGAATTGCTTCCTGGTTGCTAAGGACCAGGTTCTGGTTACTGGTGACTGGATTCCAAGTTACTAAGGCAGTGCCCTGATGACCTAAAAGGAACTGACCAGAGTTGCTCAGGCTGAGCTCCTGTGCTAAGGAGTTGCCAAGGGACCAGCCTCCTATGCTAAGAATCATTCCCAGCTTCTAGTGCCATTGTTTGGGCCCTAGTTGCAAAGACCAGGCTCTTGGCATTTTAAGCACTGATGCCATAGCCTCTCTCCTGAGCACCAGGGCTTCTCTTGCTGCCAGAGACAGTTCTGCTTGCTAGGCTGGCCTCTCTTGCCTCCCCCTTTGTAGGGGAACACCAATTACTGTGAGCATCACCCTGGGGTGTTGAGACATCCCTAGTCAACCCTCTTGCTGCTGCCAACCAAACCAGTATTAGCATCAAGCACTACACTCTGTCTCTCTAAGGACAGTCATGAGGTTCATCTTAAGGGACATGGCCCCAGACTTGGCCGCCATCTGTGAAAGGGCAGCTTAGGCCTATGGCAAAACAGCTGATTTCCCCCAACCCTCTCTTCTAGGGAAGACCTCCAAAATGAGCCTCCAACCAGAAAGTAGAGACAGAGTCCGACCCTTCCTTTCCCCAGCAGCCCTTTCCCACCCCTGAAAAACTGAGCACTTAACCCCTCCCCTTTGGAGGGACCCCACCTGAGGTATCGGGTTGGGGGCACTTTTGGTACGGAAAATATTTATTGCCTCCATGCATGTGTGTGTCTGTGTGAGGACTTGTGTGCACTGGCCTCTCTCGAGTGGGCATGTGGAACTCTTTCAGGGACCATAGAGTGGGATAGTATTTGCCATCCCGGGTACCCCAAAATTCCCAGAGATCAAGTGGAAGAATGAGGTCCCCTTCCAGTCTCCCATTTCTTTTCCACTACTTCGACCATTGTGGACAATAAATAAACCAGTATACACATGTTCCGTGACTGAGTCCTTGGGCTCATGTGGCTAGGAGGTTTATTCAGTCTGTAAGCGGGAGAAAGGTGTATGGCTGAGCCTGTGGAAAGAGCTGCTCTCCAGGGTCACCAAGGTGTCTCTTTGAGCTTTGATCCCTCCATT